TGTGGCTGTTCTTTATAGAAGGCTGGGCTGGGACCTGGAGTTCCTAGTGGGTGGGTCAGGGTTCCACTGGCCACTGACAAAAGCAGCATAAAGCTTGAGAAAGAGACCAGGTGCATTTAGAAGCCAGAGTGAAGGGCTGGATTTAAAGGGCCCAGGGCCAGAGCTGAAGATCCTGATGACGGTGAGTGGACAATTTTTGTTGGACTCTTTGCTATCCCAGAAGGGATTTGTTTTGACTGTTACCCAGCTGGAGGGCAAAGCCACTGAATCAAGCAAGGCTGACAACCTTCAGAGAGTGTCAAGAGCAGGAAATGCCTATAGCATTGCATGCAGCAATAGGAAGCATTCAAGGTGCAAGTGCCTCATTACATCTTTCTAAAGTCTTTGCTGTGCAAAGACAAGAAGGAAAACTGTAGGGGCACCAGAGACATCAGAAAATTGCATATGCAGCATGTCCTCTCCAAACGGCTAGCCGCTCTCGGTTCCCTCCAGAAGATACCTGTACAGTATCAGAAGATACCAGCAGTTTACAAACAAAAAGGGATGTGGCCAGGAAGATCTCAGGAGACATAGAAGAGCTGCGTTAGAGACCATGCTTCTTGTAAAAGTACATTTCTAAGCACAGGTTGTACCTCCTTAACCAGGTCAGCAGTTTACAAACAAAAAGGGATGTGGCCAGGAAGATCTCAGGAGACATAGAAGAGCTGCGTTAGAGACCATGCTTCTTGTAAAAGTACATTTCTAAGCACAGGTTGTACCTCCTTAACCAGGTCTCTCTGGTCTGGCAACATTTGTGCTCCAGCAGGGCATGAGATTTCTCGTACCACAAAGCCCAGGGATAGGGAGGTCTGGCCAGGGAGCTGGAACATGGCGGAGGGTGGGGTAGGCGGTGACTCACCACTTTAACCCTGAGGTGTCGGGTGAAGATAAAAGGGCTTTGGGAAGAGGCCTAGAGAAGTAGCAACAAATAATTGAAGGGAACAGTATGCGGCACTCTGGCCCCAGCTGCAGCCCTGGAGCCCCAGCCCCAGCTGCGGAACTCGGGGTCTGGCAGCAGCTGTGGACTTTGGGGTCCGGCTGTGGGTGCTAAGCAGCTCTCCAGCCTGGGGAGCCTAGGCCAGGCAGGCAGCAGCAGAGCTGGGCAGGAACCCTTGCCGGGGCAGCAAGACAACACGGACCATGTTGGGAGGGATCTCCCCTGGTCCAGCAAACCCCCTCGTTTGGGACCAATCAGATCCCGAGGGTGCTGGACGAGAAAGGTCCAACCTGGACAAAGAGATGTGTAAAGTCAATGATGCTTGAAACAACATTATATCCCAGCCTGATTCAGCCCCTACTCCCAGAGTTTTACAGAACAGAGACAGACACAAACCAACCTAAGACAGCAAAGCTATCTGGTCACTATATTCATATTGTGACAGGGGAGAGGGCCCAAACAGCATTCTGGCCATTTTCTTTTGCCCATACCACATTTCTAACTTCACTCTGGTTACATTGTGTTTCCCCAGCTGCACTCACCAGGAAAGGATCTGCTTAGCGAGAGCTGCAGAATTCCATGACTAATTTGGTCTGATCTGTGCATTTCTGTACATAGACGGAAACACACGAGCCAATCCTTCACTGTATTATTAAGGCGCTTCTTTTTCTCTGATTTTTATGAGAGTTCTCATTGATTTATTCCAGTTTAAGAACTGCCAGGCTAGGCTAGCGTGTCCCAAAGTCAGAACTAAAGCCAATTTGCAAAGTGTAAACGGGTTTGGATGAGACATCTCTCCCACTTTATACCCAAAACACTTAGCATGACAGACAGAACAATCAAGCTAATTCTGGGCTCACCTATATAGTAATAACAGTAAACAGAAATGGAGAAAGAAAGAGTGAAATCATATTCACCAATTATTGCTTTGTAGTTAACTCAAGAGCATTTCTATGAAACAGTATGAAATGTAGTTAAACTTGAATTTTGTGTGTACTGTTGCAAAAGTATAGGAATTCATGATTAAAACTAGGGATGTGAATGATTAACTGGTGGGGACTGGAGCAGCCCCTGTCCAGCCACAGTTAGAGCACCCTCCTCCCCCAGACTAAAGCTGCCTCCCTCTGCCCTCCCTTCCCCGTTTAAGCTGTTAACCAGTTAAACATTATGTTTAATTGGTTAACTGAGTAAATGGGATCACTAATTAAACTTGATGATAGTTTAAGTGAAAGTATTAAATACTCTTGTTTAGACTACCCTCATGACATAATTATTTCTTTTAGCCGCAATAAGCTCAAAAATTTAGCATATTCTCTTCAAATCATAGTTTTAGATGGTGCCTCAAGGTTTGAAATCTTGTTTCTCTTAAACCCCACCAAACAGTAGTAAACAAATACATTTCCCCAAAGTTTCCATAATGGTGTTTTACCAACGTTTATCTAATAAATATGCTTTTAACAAAATATTTACACAATAAAAATGGTGTACAAATATCAACTGCAGAAATAGCCACGTCACAGATCACTTCTTTTCCCTTCCTGGAGAATATGCCTCTACTGAAACACTTGCACTAAAAAAAACACCACAAAAACCTGAGGCTTGCGAGACATCTTTTGGCTAAGGCTTGCTCCCTCTGAGGAAGCATACGCACATCTGACTTCTGGGAAGCTGGAGTCATGGCTCTTTAGGAATTCAAGGGCCTGAAAGAAGGCACCTTTCCCAGCCCAAAAGTGATAACATGCAAGATGATGCAACACAAGTGTCCACTAAAGTGACAACAGGCAGAAGAAAAACCCCACACTTGTCAGTGATGTGTCCTGTCTCTTGGGCTTCTCTTCACCCATAAATAATGAAATACATCTGAGAACAGACAAGAAATCCAAGAGGACTGGGGGAGTTGCAGAAAAGGAGACAGTTAAAAATCTTGTGTAGACAAGCTAAAGATAATGGCCTCTGTTCTCTGCTATAGGGCAGAAGGGATATTGCACAATGCACTAGCTTCAGCTCTCATTCCGGAGCTGGTTCCATGCCCCACCTAGGGCAGAGAGGCAGACTGCCCATCACCGCTAAGGAGCCATCTACCAGCTATAGTTCACTGGAGTATTACTTGCCTCACCCACACAGAGTCATCCAGCTACCCAAGCTGGAGATTCTCACATGCTAGAGCAGTGGTTTTCAAAGTACAGGTTGAGACTAGGGTTGCCAGGTGTCCAGTTTTGAACCGAACAGGCCAGTATTTGAGCTTTCTGTTTGGGAAACAAATTGAGAAAATATAAAATGTCCCATATTTCCTAAATAAGATGTAATGTAGATTGTGATGTAATGTCAAGTGTGTCCCATATTTTTGTTGAAACCATCTGGCAACCCTAGTTGAGACCTAGTATTGGGTCACAGAACGTCAGGTACTAGATCACCTTGCTGTAGGGTAATCAGATGGCCAGCAAGGGTGCTACGGCAGGCCTTCCACTTATCCTGGCGAATGGGAGCTGGGAGGTGGTGCCCTTAGGCAAGAGCAGCACACAACACCACTTGCGCACCTCTGCCTGGGATCCAGACCTCCTACTGGCTACTTCCAGGGTTCAGCACGGCTCACAATGCCAGGACAGGCATGGAGCCTGCCTTAGCATTCCCCGCCCCCATTGTGCTTCTGATCAGGGGCTGCCAGAAGTTACCTGTGCCTCAGTTCCCCCTCTCCCACCCCCCCTACCTCTCATCCCCAGTTCCACCTTGGAGCTTGCACTCTAGTCAAAAGACATAACTATGTTGGGTTGTGGGCATCAACAATTTTCTTCAAAAGAATCACAAGAAAAACATTTGAAAAACACTGTGCTAGAGAGATCCTGTAGGTTTTACTGTCCCTCAGCACTGACAAAGGACTCACAGTGAGGGAGAAAATAGGGCAGAAAATATTAGAACAGGATGTACTAAAGTTGCCCCCCTGATGGACAGGTACATATAAGATGTGCATAAAACACGAAATCAGGTATGCTAAGTATTACTAAATCATCAATTAAAATTACTTAATGAGTACCTCTTGTCTCTTTCTTTCCTCCTGACTGATTGTCTGAGACAGTCCATTCTTTTTCACCTAAAAGACAAATTTTAGTATTTAATATCCTTATGGAAAACGGTCTCTTTTACAATATACAGTATTCAGATAAATCAAGAGCCAAGGTTTGTGCCAATAATTAAGTGACCTCACTTCCATCCTAGTTGCTAGTAGAATTCTGACCACTTCACAAAGCCAGCATTTAGTTTTATACAAAGACAAGATTATAACACATCATCATCAACTTTTGGTCTTAGCTATAAATCAAAGCATTATCAGGGTTTTATCTTATAAATTCATTATACCAAATGCACAAAGCTACTGCAGCAAAGATACAGTCCAATTGCTGTCATGTTGTACAGTACAGTACCCTAACCAGTGCTTGCAGATTTTGCACACAAGTATTTGAGCATTAGCCCCTTTATTTTTGCAAGTTAAGTAATTTACTTTACACACACAACATACCTGGGTGCAATTTTTGAGGCCTACTTCAAAATTTGTCCCTAAATCTTTTTCTCTCACCCCAGACCCTTATTAGACTGTTCATTACTAGTTAACTACCAGTCCAATATAAAATTAAATTATCATCTGCAGGTTCTTCTTTCTCTACCACCCCCTCTGAACTGTGTCTAGAAAAGACTTAGGGGGTGAAATGAAATATAAGGTGCAGAGAGTCAGGAAGGGATGTGAAATACTATTGATAAGGTTGCCAGGTGTCCGGTTTTGAAGCGGACAGTCCAGTATTTGAGCTTTCTGTTCGGGAAACAAATTGAGAAAATATAAATGTCCAGTATTTTCTAAATAAGATGTAATGTAGATTGCAATGTAATGTCAAGTGTGTCCGGTATTTTTGCTGAAGCCATCTGGCAACCCTAAGGTCCACTGAACTGGGATGATAACACATAAAAACAGTAATGTGCTTTTGTGCTGCACATATGCAATTGGGGTTTGTTATTTGTAAAGAGATAATGCATATCTGAATATGCAAACTGGGACATTTCATATCTGCAGTTTGTGTGCAAATGTCCAGGACTTAGCATGAAAACACCTCTGAAAAAAATCCAAGGAACATCATCTTAGAGGTCTGAATACAAACTAAGAATCCTGACCTTAGGCAGAAAAGTTTGAAAACTTTGGCCTATAGTAAGTACAGGGAACCTTTTTGGGGTCACAAAAATCAGTTGGGGGCCCCACTCAAGTGAGAAGCAAAACAAACCCTCACTGACATGGTTACTGATTGAAGAGAAAGACACTCCCCACTTTCCCCTCACCAGAGTCGAGGGGGGCCCAAGCTAGCAGATTTTGTGCGCTCCAGCCCCACAGAGGGGCTAGAGCACCAGCACAGGCTCCCTGATGCTGGGGCGGGGGAACCCTAAGCCTTGGGGGCCATATCTAGGCAAACTGGGGGCCACAGAATCCCCAACTGTGGTCTACAGGAACATCTGGTTCCTCCCCTTCCCCTAAGTAAAACATTTCAATAGCCCCCTTTAACCAAAAAAAAAAAAAATCCAATTAAAATTTAAAAAATTAACCTTCCATATTATTAAGGTAGCACAATCTCATCAATCATACAACTATGAGCTAAATGTTGAGAACCTTTGGAAGGGATTGAAAAAACAGGACATTATGTGAGAATGCAGAATGTTGTTTACTTGGGGGACTTTAATCACCCTGACATCTGTTAGGAAACCAATACAGCAGTACACAGGCAATCCAGGAAGTTTTTTGAGAATGTTGGGGATAACTTCTTGGCAGAAGTGCTGAAGGATCCAGCCAGTGACCGTGTGCAGCTTGACCTTCTGCTCATAAACAGGGAGGAACTAATAGGGGGAGTAGAGGTGGGTGACAACCTGGGAAGCAGTGATCATGAGATGGTAGATTTCAGGATCTTGACCAAAGGAAGAGAAGAGAGTAGTAAAATACACTTGGACTTCAAAAAAGCAGATTTTGACTCCCTGAGACCCCAGATTGGTAGAAACCCCTGGGATGCTAACATGAAGAGGAAAGGAGTCCAGGACAGCTGGCAGTATTTTAAAGAAGCCTTACTGAAGGCACAGAAAGAAACCATCCCAACGCGTAGCAAGAGAGGCAAACATGGTAGGAGACCGGATTGGTTTACAGGGGAAATCCTTGATGAACTTAAGCACAAAAAGGAAGCTTACAAAAAGTGGAAACTTGGACAAATGACCAGGGAGGGGTTTAAATATATAGCTCGAGAATGCCGGGGGATTATCAGGAAGGCGAAAGCGCAAATGGAATTGTGACTGGCTAAGGATGTGAAGGATAACCAGAAAGGTTTCTACAGGCATGTTAACAAGAAGAAGGTGATCAGAGAGGGTGTGCGGCCCCTACTGGATGAAGGAGGTAACCTCGTGACAGATGATGTGGGGAAAGCTGAAGTACTCAATGCTTTCTTTGCCTCTGTATTCACGGACAAGGTGGGCTCCTGGACTAATGCGCTAAGTGATACAAGATGGGATGAAGATGGACAGCCATTGGTGGGTAAAGAACAGGTTAGGAACTATTTAGAAAAGCTAAACGTACACAAATCAATGGGTCCGGACTTAATGCATCCGAGGGTACTGAGGGAGTTGGCAAATGTCATTGAGGAGACTTTGGCCATTATCTTTGAAAAGTCGTGGAGATCGGGAGAAATCTCGGATGATTGGAAAAACGCAAATGTAGTGCCCATCTTCAAAAAAGGGAAGAAGGACGATCCAGGGAACTATAGGCCAGTCAGTCTTACCTCGGTTCCTGGAAAAATCATGGAAGGGATCCTTAAGGAATCCATTTTGAGGCACTTGGAAGAAAGGAAAGTGATTAGGAATAGTCAGCATGGATTCACAAAGGGAAAGTCGTGCCTAACCAATCTGATTAGCTTCTATGATGAGGTAATTGGCTCTGTGGACGTGGGAAAGTCAGTGGATGTGATATACCTTGACTTTATCAAGGCTTTTGATATGGTGTCCCACAATATTCTTGCCAGCAAGTTAAGGGAATGTGGATTGGATAAATGGACGGTAAGATGGATAGAAAGATGGCTAGAAGGCCGGGCCCAGCGGGTAGTGATCAACGGCTCAATGTCAGGATGGCGGTCGGTTTCCAGCAGAGTGCCCCAAGGTTCAGTTTTATTCAATATCTTTGTTAAGGACCTGGATAAGCCTCAGCAAGTTTGCGGATGACATTAAGCTAGGGGGAGAGGTAGATACGCTTGAGGGCAGAGATAGGGTACAGAGAGACTTGGACAAACTGGAGGATTGGGCCACAAGAAATCCGATGAGATTCAACAAGGACAAAGTGCAGAGTCCTGCACTTGGGATGGAAGAATCCCAAGCATTGTTACAAGCTGGGGACCAACCACTTAAGTAGTAGTTCTGCAGAAAAGGACCTGGGGATTACAGTGGGTGAGAAGCTGGATACAAGTCAACAGTGTGCCCTTGTAGCCAAGAAGGCTAATGGCATATTAGGTTGCATTAAGAGGAGCATTGCCAGCAGATCCAGAGCTGTCATTATTCCCCTTTATTCGGCTCTGATGAGGCCATCTGGAGTACTGTGTCCAGTTCTGGGCCCCCCACTACAAAAAGGATGTGGACGCATTGGAGAGGGTCCAGTGGAGGGCAACTAAAATCATTAGGGGGCTGGAGTATATGACTTATGAGGAGAGGTTGAGGGAGTTGGGTCTGTTTAGTCTGCAGAAGCGAAGAGCGAGGGGGGATTTGATAGCAGCCTTTAACTTCCTGAAGGGAGCTTCAAAAGAGGATGGAGAGAGGCTGTTCTCAGTCGTGACAGATGGTAGAACAAGGAGCAATGGTCTCAAGTTATGGTGGGAGAGGTCCAGGTTGGATATTAGGAAAAACTATTTCACTAGGAGGGTGGTGAAGCACTGGAATGGGTTACCTAGGGAAGTAGTGGAGTCTCCATCCCTAGAGGTGTTTAAGTCTCGGCCTGACAAAGGATTAGTCCTCCCTAGAGCAGGGGGCTGGACTTGATGACCCTCTGAAGTCTCTTCCAGCTCTATGGTTCTATGATTATCTAAGCATTAAAATAATGTAATAAATAATTCCTTTCTATTAGTAATCTGACTTCAGTTTGGCTAAATTAATAAATCATTTTTCCCCAGTTCTCAAAACGCAAGAAATATCTAAACAGAAAGAGAAATATACACACCCACAGTGTTTGCCTACTATGAGCCTGAGTTAATATGCACCTAAATGGTTCTCCTTATTTCTTCTATTTCTTCCTGTGATAATGGATCAGAGTATTTACTGCACCATGGAGGCAGGCTATGGAATTTCACAAGCACCATGGACTTACTGCCAATAACTACGTTCAGCCAGTGAGTCAACTTTTTCTCATATGTACATACACTGGCCATAAAGTGCAGAGAGTGAACTTGGTCCTAAGAGATCCTTGATTCAAATTATCTTAAAAAAAGAAAAAAAAAGAAGACGATGACGACGGACCAGGGGAAAAAGAGGACTAATCAAATTGATTCAAAATATTGAGAAATAACGAATACAATTTCAAAGAGGTAAAGATAATGAACTCAATTTAGAAAATAAAACAGAAAATTCATCTTTTCAGTTCTTCAATTAAAGTGCAAATTTAAAATGGGAATTAAAACCCTTAAGAGTGGATTAGGTGACACTGGACTGAACGTCCCAGTTAGTTTCAGTCACTGTTTTGGCACATACTCCTTGCCTGTGCCTGCAAATTACTTCACCTCTCTCAGAGGCCGTGTCTACACTACACCCCTCTTTTGGCAAAGGGATGTAAATGAAACACTTCAAAAGTGCAAAGGAAGCGGGGATTTAAATATCCTGTGCTTCATTTGCATAATCACATCATGGCGCTGTTTTGAACAAGCGCCATGTTGAAAGTGAAACCGCAGTTTAGACATGGTGTTTTTGACAATGGGGAGATTTTTCGAATGATCTTGTACTACAAGATCTTTCCAAAAATCACCCCATTGTTGAAAAACCGCGTCTAAACTGTGGCTTCACTTTCGACATGGCGCTTGTTCAAAACAGCGCCATGAT